GTGATAATTGGTCAAAGCCGATTAAACTGACTGTCTATGCATTTTGTTGATTGTCTTGTCACAAAGTAGTTTCAGCTTTATTTACTGGTGGTTTATTTATTAGCAGTCTTTGTCTGTGTTACATGAGGTCTTGATCCCTCATGTTGCCTTACATTTAGCTGCTAATAATATAACTGTGAACGTTTACCACGTTTCAAATAATACATTATTCGTACAGCATAGTGACAGATCGGTTTGAGTGGTCATGTTTCGTTTGAAAGTCAATATATGGGATTGAAAGGTACATTCCAATGCATGCAAAACATTAATTTCAAGATTAAAGCTTCCAAACATCATAAACAGTACTTCTGTTTTTATATTTTTGTAATGTCAAAGGGGGTACAATACAATCTCACAAACAACTCATAAACTGTGATGTTCTCACGCTCGTGAAGGTCCTTTAGTTGTAAAACATTATATCCTCTGAACTTCACATGAAAACTTATCAGTCAATAAATCTTACTTTCTTGTGTGTTAATTCAGATGACTAACGTTTGCCCTCGCAACCTTAACAACATACATAATGCTTTTTCGGATACATGCACTGGCATGTTGGACATAAATCCATTTCCTTCTGAAATATTGACATTGATTCATTTACTAATGCCGGTCTACAGACATTAGACCCCATCTCAGGAAAAGCACGTTATCAGATCACCTGACTGAAAGCAAAATTCACTTATTGAGATTTCGCAGTTATTTATCCAGAATATCGGCTTTTCCGTCAGAGGAAATTCTTGTTGTTGTACAAACGACATTTGCTTTGGTGCGGGGATATTTTCGGCCATTGCCTAATTATTTGTCTTTCGGTCAGTTTGAGCAATCAGCTTGGATCGCCACTGTGTGCAGATGACTGTAGAAGTGGTATTGGCATCTTCCATGCACTGCTGAACTTTATCGATTGTAGCTGTATATAGGCGTGTTACATTGGGGTGATGTCACCCAGCAGTATTATGTCTTTTTAGACAATGGAGGTTTATTACAAAGATAAAATTGGTAGTAAATATAATTAACCAAGCATGTTAATGTCTTGTCGTTTTAACACTACTGTATGATGGAACATAGCATGCAGGTCAGGTGCATACACACGCGCGCAGGCACGTACGCATACATGAATTACATTGAAAATGGGTAGTACAAGGTAGTTAATATGGGTGAATAGAAACATTTGATTGCCCCAGGTCCGGACGGCCACGTGTGACGTGACATGCCGAGGACAATCAAATTCGGCTACGTCATTTGCGTATTCGTTTTACGACTTCAACGCAAACCAGTAACGAACTGTTTAGGGGTCGCGTAACTGCCCAGACCAGACAAAACCGCTTGCGCGCTGCCCATTTACGTGCCTGACGTCTTTACGTTGGGCCTTTTCTGACATCAGTAAACAGTAATGAACGTCTACACCGGGCACATTTGCACCTGTAGATGGCTAAAGACCCTGCAAAATACGTGTATTGACGTCATGGAGTGGCCATCGAGATCACCTGACCTCAATCTCATCGAACACGTAATTCTTCGTGCCTTGAAAAGTCACCCCAAAATGTTCAAGAGCTTGGGCGCCATGTTGGTATAGTAATAACACAGATTGCCTAGCACTGTGTTCACGGATGTTAAGCAGTCAATGAGATAACGTAGCCATGATGTTGTGAATGCGAGAGGGGACATATGCGGTATTGAACAAGCTCGAATACAGATGGCTTATCCTTGTCAAATCAAAACGTGACACCGCGCTACTGTTGATTGTGGAGGGTGCACCATGCGCACCTTAATACCTAACCAGTTTTAATGTACGTTCATTACATCCATAAACTAGATCTATCCACAAGTAACACACTTTGCTCTATATGGGTATGTTTGGGTCATAAAGTAACACATGTGAAGTTTCATTTTTGGTTCAGTATACGATAATTATTTGTAGAAGTGGGTACCTTTCAGTAAGTGTTTCATCGGTAAATAATGTGTAGTCCTGGATACCTGTCAGGTTGTGTTTCATGGGTAAATAATGCATAGTCCTGGATACCTGTCAGGTTGTGTTTCATGGGTAAATAATGTGTAGTCCTGGATACCTGTCAGGTTGTGTTTCATGGGTAAATAATGCGTAGTCCTGGATACCTGTCAGGTTGTGTTTCATGGGTAAATAATGTGTAGTCCTGGATACCTGTCAGGTTGTGTTTCATGGGTAAATAATGTGTAGTCCTGGATACCTGTCAGGTTGTGTTTCATGGGTAAATAATGCGTAGTCCTGGATACCTGTCAGGTTGTGTTTCATGGGTAAATAATGTGTAGTCCTGGATACCTGTCAGGTTGTGTTTCATGGGTAAATAATGCATAGTCCTGGATACCTGTCAGGTTGTGTTTCACGGGTAAATAATCAGTGGCCCTGGTAACCCTCTAAGTACAGACTGTAGTGCAAACAATTATTGAATAATCTTAGATGTGTACAGATTAGAAACCTTTGATGGGTTTAGGCGGATTTAGGAATAACATTGACGGTTATTTGTACATGTGTACATACATACATTATTTGTACATTTGTATTGGTTTTTTAAAAAACACTGTGGGAAATAAAATTGTACAGATTTCATTATTTCTACCACGTATGTAACTTGTCGACAGAGTAACAGAGATTTACCCCTCATCTAGAAACATATATCCAAAACACATGTGGTTCCTGGACGCTTTCATAACGTTAAACCACAAAGTGATAAAGTAGAAACATAAAAGACACATTTTGGGTAAAAACTTCATTTATTCTCAAATTCTTTTATTTGTCACCTAATATACTCAGCATCAATAGAAACGCATCACTCAAACAACTCATACCACTCTAGAAGAAATGCCTAGAATCAAGCTGACACTACGTTAAACCTAATTATACTTAAGCCAGGAGGTACAATCCTTGGAAGCGTCATATGATCATCGCATGGTCTATACAGTGTTCATTTGAAAATTGTGATGTCTGGACATACAGTGTCGGAGTTACCGAGGTTTTGCTTACAAGTGTACAATCTCAGAACCGTTTGGAAACACATTGGTTTCTGCTGTATTCTTCCCGCTTAAATTAAGAAAGACTTTCGAAGTCCATTCATTTACTAATAAATAGCTGTCTTTGTAACTGCTAAAACACAGTAGCGAAATATTTGAGTTTCAGAGACTACTCATCAATCAATAGTAATCATTGTAATCAATTATCAGTAGTTTCAACATGACCTTGTGTAGTCACAAATGACATTCCCGTGGAAATTGCTTTGTCCAGATACAAAGAAACATTATCACAACATATGCTGGCATTGATTAATTAACATGTCAATCATTAACTCCAAGCAAAAGCACATTCACCACAAACGCTGCCTCTTTGTGTTAACCTGATTTTAGTTATAATTAGTTATATCATGTAATCATATATTGTTGCGTTTCTACTGATGTTCAGTATATATTTCGTTGCCTTGTATGTACTGATGTGTCGATATAGGCAATATTTGCATATCAAGTGACAATACTTACACTGGTAATTGGCCTAGGATTCCCTGTTCATGTGTCCCATTTTGCATATAAACTAGAACAAAAATAACACTATATACAAGCTGATGAAATCAACAACTGAAATAAACATCATGAAAGACTACTGAATATGGTAACCCTTCGTGGCACACGTCTACGTTGTTTTCTTTTTGCGTGTAAAAGAAGTTGAATTAGGGCTATGTGACGTAGCATATGTCAGGAAAATAGCGTCATGAGCAACTAATTGCATTGAAAACGAAAACATTTTGAAATAATTGAATTAAAATATTTCCATCATAAACAAAAATGGTCAGTTGTACGATTCCAAATATATTATAGGCATAGGTTTATGAATCACTCTCTGATAGTATTGATAACAGTGAACAGAAAAAAGATGAGCGTATGCTGCTCCCCCGTGACATTGGTAACAAACACACGCAGCGACAAGTCAATAGTTCACTTAGAATCATGCAAACTTGTGGCCGTGGTACGGACATCTAGTATACAATTCACAGATGAAAATACTGTATCATTACTGAATTAAACATGATGTGTATATCTGCTTTGAAATAGTTATCATATCGAAGTATTTCGTATTTACAGTACTTTCTAAGAATGAGTGAGTGAGTGTGTGAGTTAAATTTAAAGTCACAGCTTTCTGAAAACGTGTCTGGAGGAGAAACAGTACAGCCAGAAATTATTGAGAATTTAAAGATTGTATTTTTTTTATTTTTTCACTCATTACTCACGTATTAAATGTGAATATCAGCAGAACATAACTTCAGATTCAAAGGCAGGTAAACAGTTAGTATTTTGTCAAGTCACCATGGGCAGCAATGCAGGCTTCAATGCGGCGGGGCATACTACTGATCAAAGAAGTTAGAAAGTCGTGGTCCATGCTGTCCCAATATCGGACCACCTCTTCTTTCATTTCAGCAATATTTGTCAGATTTTTCTTATTGACACTTTCCTTCATAAGTCCCCAAACATTTTCTACTGGATTTAGGTCATCAGAAAATTTCCATAGAACACGTGAGCAGATGGAAGTAAATGTCCCTCGAAAATATCTGTGTACCGCTCACTGTTCATATTCCCTTCAAATACACAGAGGGGCGTTGCCCCTAACACAGATATGCCACCCCACACGTTAAATTTCGGACTGTACTTTGGGCGCTGATACAAAGGTTTTTCAGTTTGTTTGGTCCAGAATTTCAGTGTATTAGGAAACAGCCACACACAACTTTCATCTGAGAAAATCATATTGTCCCAGTTAAAATTTCTATGCTGTAAAGCACCAGTTCAACCTTCGCTCCTTTTGTTCACGTTTCATGATAGGTGATGGAATTCCTCGACTTTTCTGCAACCCATTGCATGCAGCTCAGTTCACAAACTCTTCACAAACTAATGAAAAAGGATTAACGGAGTTGTCTCTCTTGAATGAAACCAAGCACTTGATAGCTGGTCAAGGTTGTTTATACTAGAAATCCAATTAAACATATTCCTAAAATTCTCAATAATTTCTGGTCATACTATACCTATTTTCATCTTGTTGAACGTACATGTATAACAGATCGACACGTGTAAAAATTTCTTGACGAAATACAACATATTGCAAACCGCTACCAGATAAGGACTTTTAGGATAAAAGACCCTGTGCAATGGTGTTTCTTTATCCTTTGACTATGCACAGGTTATGAATTTCGTTATAGTATAGGTACACTATCGAAAGGTTATTTGAACAGAGTGTTTAAGGAACGCAGTATTTAGCGTGAAAACAATGTTAATTTTATTAAAGGGAACATTACGGATGTCAACTTCTGTATTGTCAGGAACACGACGTTTTGGAGTAGACTGATAGTCATGTATCACCCTCTAATACTGAAGCTGGCTGAAGATTCCCCCTTAATGAATACCACTTCTAAATGCCATTCAAAGATGATAACGTAAATGATCGCACACAAATCTGAACGCTGGTTCAGAAGTAGGATGTCACATAAGAATCATGACCTCTATGCATATATAAGAGACTTCCAATTATAACTGACTGAAACGTGCAACTCGATATTATAGTAATGCATTACATATATTATATTCCACTTCCATTCCGTCTCACAGATGATGAGTGCAGTGTAGCTCTATTGCTAATTGTCACATAGCCCTTAACTCAGCCTACAGTAAGTGACGTTGAAAGGATACGGTCATTGTTGTGCTTTACAGATCACATCTAAAGCTTACAGTGACATTACCGGTAATAACCCGCATCGGTAAACATAAATAATGCTTGATGAAATAATAAATTAACAGTCGCATAAAGATCTTTTTCAGAAATGATATTAAACAAAGTCATTCGTGGTGTTACATGTTTGAGGTGTATTGGTATGATTCGTCATCAACATCGTCCATGTAACGCGTGTTGATGGACAACGACAATCAAATAATATGCAGCTTTAACACACGAGAGAAATGAGTCTAATATTTCGAGTTGTCTCGAATATATATGATACTTACATATATACTATACTATGATATTTCTAAAATAATTTCCTCACTGGGTTTCTTGGTAGCAGATCTGCTGTATGCGTATTTGACATTCTAGCAACTAAGGTCTGGATATTAAACCAACTTAAAGGATATATGTTTTTAGAAGGTGGAACAACCAATTTAGATTGGATATCAAACATCACAGCGTACTAAAATCAAGGTCAGGTAACCCTCGCATTATGCAGCTCAAATTGAAACCAGCTTTTTCAACAGACAAATGAACGTAAAATGTTATTGATTGACTTAAGCCACACCGTTCCGGCGTGATGTTTTTTAAACGACAACGATAGTCAGTTTAAAATGAAACTATTCATGGCCTAACCTAATCTGCTTATAATTTACTTCCATCCGTCAACTTAACTAAAGGTCCTTTTTGGTTACATTTGTTTAATATTCAATTCCACCTAATATCTCATCAATATGTTTGGAAGTGTCAAACCAGAAACATTCTAATGTAAATACCCTTTAAATTCCTTCTGTTAGTTATCACTATTTTGTAAGCTGCCTGACCGTTCATCGTTATGAAAAAGGAGCATACGTCTCCATCTACTAAACAACAACAAGTTGTATTATGAAACACAAATCCTTAATTATTTCACTTTAAAACACCCTTACGTTATGTGAAACAGCAAAAACAGACCACACTGATCTTAAGACGACATTTGAACTACAGAAATGGCATACAATCTTTGTTATGTTGCTGACACTCTCGGCATTAACTACTGGAGCTCTTGATGGTTAGCTGCATGTTGCATCTCTCCTTACTGTTTGTAAGGGTAGGGAATGAACACGGCATCAGTTGGACGGATACCAAACCAAAATTGAAACTGCAAATAGTAAACCGAAGGGCAATAGAATGTGCACAGAGTTTGTATTTTTATGTAATTTAAAACTGACAGAACTGTTGATAAATTTGATCACTCATTCTTGAAACTGTTTGTAAAATTCAATCAAATGAAAACTGGGCTAAGATAGGCATTTTCAAACATATGACCACAACCATGCTTAAAATATATTTATACGTGTTGAATTGTTTTTGAAAAGGCAATATTATTTGGAATTTTTAAAGAAAGATAAGATGTCTAAGATACCATTCAGCAATTGCGTATTATGCGATTTCCTTTAATTTGAAAATGTTGAAATAGAATTATTTTGCAAAATATAAAACCACCTGGAAGTATTCTTTCAGCGCTATGTACAGTCCATCTTTTACACAATAACACTAACTCTGCTGAAAATAACGTTTCTTTTGCTCTCCAGTTTTGGTAATGAAGGCATACCTAGAGGTAGCAGGCTTTATATAACAATATATTCCATACAACATGAACTAATTCTTAACAAATAATATTATTTTGATTTGAAGTGATATGTAATCTACGACTGCTGTTTTTAATAAAACAATAAATTTTGTAATTGATCTCACATAGTAGCAGTATGAAATAATAGCTTCACTGTGTATGAATTTGAATATGTTTGCATTTACGAGAGGGCAGTAGCTAATGCAAATACCTGAAATAACATAAAATACATTGCAATGAAATTTTGATTACAGTTCTGTCACAGAGTGCGAAACAGAACGGTTGACTTTGGTCCTGAAACAAAACATTATGTCAGTTTATGCCCATGAAGCTCATACTGTTAAAACAATTTCATAAACGGATTTAATAATTACAACTTGAAAATAAATCTGGATATATCTTTCAAAATGCATTGAAAAAAGATTATACAAAAGTCTATGTTAACCTTTCATCAAAGTCATACATCGCTGTAAAATTAAGGCAGATATGTGTGAGAACAGTAACGACATATGGACAGAAATGACAGACAGAGCATCACTCTACGCCTATATCGAGTACTAAGGGGAAGTAACCCTTCACATTTGAGGAATGATGACCGCGGTCAAATATGGCAAAGGCATGTGTGCAGATGAATTTCTAGGTCGATGTCCATGGCAGCTCATGAAAGGAATGGCCTTTATGCGTCCGTTATCAAGATTTGATCTGTCGTCACTGTCACGTGTCACTCACGAGGCAGCCACGTGACCAGCACAGAGGATATCAACCTAATGTCTAGGTAAATGTAGAAAACATTACGTGATTGTCACAGAGTCTTGTTTTACAGTGTCCTACTATCGCATCAGTGTAGTGTTACTATAAAAGACACTCAATATATCCACGACTTCACGCCATTTGGTGTATGTATGTACAGTTGATACATATAATTGGCTTCAGTAAAATGATCACACAATCATTCAAAGTCACTTCTTTCTCACTGGCCCGCTACTTATACTCGAGGTGGGTCAAAGTCAAGGTCATTGCACATCCTAAACAGGAACGCCATTCGGCGGTATCACAACGTAACATGTTGAATAGCACATTCAGATAATTCATGCATTATCACCTGATTTTGGCGGTTTCTCCTGAGGTTTTTCCTCAATAATGACTTCTTTTCTGATTGTTACTGGCTGTCCCCCTGCCCATTTGGGCTGTATGGACTCGTCCTTTTGTGACTTGCTGTCTTTACTAGAGGGAACAGAAGGGCTGACACTTACTATGCTCTTTTTTACAGAAGGGTCATCCTTAGGGATTTTCAGAATAGGAGTTGGTTGAACAGTAACAGTCGTAGTTGTAGTTGTATGGGACGGCTCTGGCCTTTCATCAGATTTTACTTTGGTCTCTTCCGTTTTAGTCCTATCTTTTGAATCTTTAGAATGTTCCTTGGAAGGATCGGGAGGTACAACGAGGAACTGCTTAGCAGAAGTGCCCTTTGGGTCTGTGACTAGAGCAACAGCCTCATCTAGACTGGGAGTTTTACCTGTGTCTTTTAACTTCTTGGGTTTGCTTTCTTTCGTTTCAAACGCTCTTAAAAATTTGTTACCAAGAAAACTACCCCTTCTCTTCTCTATGTCTTTGTCTTTTTCTTCCTTTTCTTCCTCAATCCTTTCCGGGGTCCCGGTCATGGAATATGCATCTCCTACACTTCCCGATCTCTTTCTTTCAGGAAGAGAAGGAACTCGAAGTCCAAATAGATTAGGTCCTGAGGGAACCTTTGGCAGCTTCCCAAACTTATGAGATTTTCCATCTGTAAAATCTATCAGATCCTTATCCTTCAAATTTTCCCGCGACTTGCTTCTTTTCTCCTCAGTAATCCTTTGCAACCTGGCAGAAAAATCAAATTTGAATTTTTTCTTAGGTTTACTTCCATCGGAGCTATCATCGGAGTCTCCATCTTCGTTCTCACTGGCGCTGGTAGGGATGGGTGTGGATTCCATCACTATCTCGTTCACAAGCTTCTGGTCCTCCTCAAGGTCTGCTCGGCTGCTCACCAAGCTCGGGTTCTTACCAATTTTGGATAGTCTCTCTGCCGCAACACTCTCCATCGTTCTCCTCATCAATGGATATCGATCCAACACGTCGTTGAAGTGCTCAACGGCCAGAGAGTAGAGGTTCACATATGTCTCCGCTCGAACACTGGCAACACGTCGTGCATTTGTCAACAGACAAATTTCTGAAAATAACAAAAAGAAAGTATTGGAAACTTGACTTAATCGTATAATTATGAATCTGGATATGGTAGAAAACGTCTCTTTACTTGTAATTCTGGTCTCAATTTTTGTCTATAAATTATCACGATGCACTATTACTAATTGGTACTTGTGGATTCATATTTAATACCAAAGATTAGTCATTGAATAACATTTCTGCTAACACGTCCCAATTAAAAACATTTTTGGAGCAAAATTGGGAATATGTGAGATCAATATGTGAATATCTGATGCGAAAATTAATAGTTTAACAGTAGCCATTAAAAACATGCCCATGAACCAAGTTTCATAGATATGGAAAAATGGACAAAGATGAAAATATTTCAAAAACTTAAATCCATGCAAAGAATGAGAATGAAGTGTTACCACCACATGAGTTATTTTTAAAATATCGTGCAATAAGAAACTCCATGCTGATCAAATGTCATGCTGTAAAAGTGACATAAGAAGGATGAAGAAAACATCGTGATGATATGCATAATAGTAATTTCTTAGTCTCTTGTGGAGAGCAGCTAGACATTGCATCAACGGTTTATAAATAAAGTATGTATTATCTCAAGCGACCGGAATCCCTTGTGTGAGTCCCATATGAATAAGACAGCCTTCAAATTTACAAACAACATTAGATAATTATCATTTGTTCATCTAAGGGACGTAGAACGGTTTTAACATTTTATCAGTGTGTTTGTTAAAACAAATATAATCCCATCCAATCCAGTACAGCGCGCCTCTAGTTTTTCAAGAGTACATGAACGTAATCATGTAGTTTTTATGACGATGATGATGATAACATATTGTGGAATAGTGTTAGTGCTATGGATTAGGGCCCCTTTGCGGCACCCTGGTGAGTTATCCCACAGTGATAACCCCGAGGAGAAAATCATCTACCTCCGAAGTAAGACCCATCTGAAAGACTAGTGGCGACCTCCTTGTCTGACGTTATGATGTCCACAATGCCCTCTTGAATGAAGAACATCTTGGTTCCAATAGTGCCCTCCTTTATCACCAGGTCGCCAGGCTGAAAGACTTCGAACTTTAGTTTGCTAACCACCTCTGAGACGAAGGAGGGATCAGCGTTCGTGAAGAACGGAACAGATGCTACGAGGGCCCGGCAGTTGTGGTTGATTACCTCCTGGAAATAAATCACAATGAGTGAGTTGGGTTTCACGGTGCTCTAAACACTGTTTTAACCATATCATGTCATAGCAGCTCAGCGACGAAGGGAAGACCAAACTGATGCGGCCCTGGACCTAACAACATGGTACACCACACGGTGCTGACAAACCAGGAATGACAATCAGACGAATCAGGAATAAAAGCCCATCGGTAGAGGGTCACTAGTGCCCATTGAAATCCATTCATAACATGACGCTGGAGCATACCAAGGTATGGGAATAGGGACAACTTTGAAACGTTGCAGGTGCATTTGTATAAAGGATGTGTTAATACAATCGCTTTGAAGGAATTCAAAGGTATATTAGATTGACATGTTAAGAAAGGTTTCTTTGAATAATATCATTGCTATATGGACATCATTGCGATGTTCTTAAGCCACTGAAGATGTGTGTGACAAATACGATTCCTAGGTCATGAACATCTTTGAAGAAAGAAAGAGATTTGTTACACATTTTGTTATGACAGCAAATGTTGATTCATTTTTACATTATAGTAATGTCATACGAGACAAGTTAATACAGAAAGATTTTAAGCATCGAATTGGGATGTAGGATATTTCCATCTTTCGAGCAATTGCAAGACATTCCCTAAAACAATTTCGTAGCCTCATTTAGACCAATGTACACTGCACGAACAATTAAAGTATTTATTGTGGTCTTTGATGTTGAACGTGGGGTGCCATTTTGGGATCAGTGAAGAGGTACATTTCACATACATTGGAGCATATAATGATTGGAGAATAACCAGTCTCGATTATCTACCCATATACATATTTCACTGGGCTTGACAGTCAAAATAGCGGTGAACTTACTATATGTGGATCACTTATAGTCACGGACACCAGGTGTTGACGATAACGGTAAACTTGTCCTGCATTATCCCATAATTTGCATGCGTGAGTGAGATTGAGTTACGATTCTAAGTCACATTGGCAGTATTTCAGCATAATAATCAAAGGTAAATTATAGAGACCTGTCAACGAAGGACGTTAAAAACTACGAGATTATGGCAGATATAAATTTAAAACTTGTAATTAAATCTCAATCATTTCGACTATAGATGACAATACAACATTATAAACTGCCAACAACTGAAGGTAGATCACCATGCTAAGGACCATGGGGACTTACAGTACATTTGCTTCCTGCATGGACCCTAGCTGGATTTACACCATCCTTTCAAATGTTAGCAGTTTTGGGCAATCTAGCCATAAATTAAACTAATATGTATACTACAGTTAACAATAGTAGTATGTTAAATTTACGTCAATTGTTTTGGGACTTACGCGCCCTCTCAGGAGGACAATAATTTTACATTACTTCAGTTTGCATGAACACGTGTTACCTGACACTGCATAGCAGCACTAGCTAGATGCTGAAGGAGGGATGCCCTATATTAGACATACGATTAAATGTACCTGAAAAGCACTTCCTGGAGGACGAGTGCAGTCATACAGAGTGTACGGCTATGGTATCTAGTAGCTGACCATGAATTGACAAACACATATGAGCGCTCGGTATAGTGGCGATAGCGCAGAACGACAGGACTAATCTGATTGTGTACATGTACATATTAACATTAGCTGTCTACAAGACTCCAGACTTAATTCAAACGCGTGTTCTTGAATGTTTCAATCCCTCCATGCGTCATACTGTTACAGGAAGTACAAAGAAGCAAAGTTTAAACACGGAGCTTCAATACTCAGTTTGTCGTAACCAAACCATATCACGCAATCAAATTCTGTATAAAAATGAAAATACAAACGGATGCCAACTGTACAAGAGTCCCGCCATGTGGCAAGCTGGCCAAAACTGGAACAGGCAACTGTGTAAATATTTGATTCCTGAATGACAATAAAAGTCTATCTAGATTAAGGTGTCAGATTTTATCTACTTCCTCAGCCTTTAAGACAGCACCAGTGTCAATAAAGAAACAAGCCAATTTCGCCAAACACGACAGGTTCGGTATAGAAATGGCGTTCGTCGAGCTTAAGGGTGGTCTGCCGAAGGCCATAGTCTAAACTAATGTTAGAACTGCATCAAGTTTGTATATTCACCTGTCGCCGACACATGATTCACATTTAACGTGATTTAAATGAGAACACGATGTAAGAACGTCAGCAATGTCTTAAATACATCCATTAGTTACACACAAGATAACAACGTGGCAAGGGAGAGCTTAGAGACGGAGGAGCTCATTTCGTTAGAATGCTAATTAGGAAGACTTGAAAAACGGTCGTGTATATTTGTATTGGTTTCGTCTTCTGTTGTGAAAACCACTGATTGGTAATTTTAGTGACGTATTTAGTTCCCTGGTTTTAATTATGGTCTTTTTTAAGTTTCATCACCACAAGTGACATCGTTACATAGTTAACGCCTATTATTATACACATGTTTGCATATGGGTTTTAAAAGTTTACATCTATGTTTTTTATGGGGACGTTCCCGACGATGCCAATTCCCATTTATCTTACCGCGTTTACATTCATGTTGATGTTATATCAAAACCAGTGATACAAAATATGAATGTCCCTACAGATCATTTCACAACTTTTGTAACAACATTGTGTTGCAATACATCACCATTCCCACTGGTGATACACTGTGAGTGGCTATCTTGCTGATAAATCAAAAAGACAGAGAAACATATGTCCATTATTATAGAACCATATGTCCATTATTAAGGATGCCTCGTCACAGTTGTATCGGTAAATGCATAATTACATATTTATTTGAATCAAACATCAAAGCATCAAACATTTCCTCACATCACCGTCAGTTAAATATCTCACGCTGTTGACGTTATCGTGTTGTTACATGGACAAGCCAGCAGTTGTCACTAAATATCTAACGCTGCTGACGTTATCGTGGTGTTACGTGGACAAGCCAGCAGTTTTCACTAAATATGTGAAGAACCATCTACTTACATGTTTCAGACACTCGTTAAGCTCCCCTAATATCGTCTCTTCGTCGAACATCTTTCCCTGATATCGATGTTCATAGTAATCTGTAATCCTCTGGCGAAGGTTTCGAGGTAATTTACGATATATCATGTACTCTTCAACTTGTTTGAACTGAAAACAGAAACATGATATAACTATATTAAGGTGTAAACGATTGGTTTTTCAGTTGCATGCTTTTCAGGAATACCGAAAACAGTAATGCATAGCAAACCAAAAACAAACAAATAAGAAAGAAAAAAGAGAATACAATGATTCCTTTTTGTGCTAACACATCAAATATAAACTTCCACGTCAATGGATACTAATTCAAATAATAAAGCTCCACGTCCTTTGATACTGCATATGTAAATGTATCTATAAACATTTACAATATGCCTCCTGAATCTAGTATGATGACATTACGCTTTTGTCGTTAATGTTGATCCTGGAATGCACTGGCCATTTTAAACATACAAATGACATATCAACCATGATTTCAGTCAATGACATAAAAGTATTTTCATTTGGCTCTCACTAGATACAAGATTACTCCAGTGAGATATCACACAGTAGTGATGATTAGATGTTTTGACACACACCAGATCTTGGTGATGTGTTGATTACAAGGTTGAAAAACAAGGCTTGTTCTAAATACGTTGTTAAACACTTGTACTTAATACTTACCTTTTCATTATAAAGTCTTCTAGAGGTGTCAAATGACTGGATGAGAGTAGTGGTATGAGCAAGGAAGAGTGCATAGCAGGTGGCACCACTCAGCATGCTCAAAATGGTCAACCACGTGTCCGACATATTTTGTGGAGGGAAACGCCCATACCCTATGCATAGCATATGAGATAACGCTTTGAATAACGCCCATGTATATTGTTCAGCCCAGTGAGCATCCTGAAATGAAAACACTGGATGAAGAAGATAACTACTTTTGAATTAAACTAAAGTGCCTATATTCCGAAGGTAAATGACGAAGTAGAGGCAGAGATTTGTATGTAAACATGCATGGTACATGGTCAGGTAAATATTTCGACATACAAAGAGATGAATCGAGAGTAGAACCGCTGTAAACACCCTTTATCCCAAAACTAATAGTACATGTTCCAGATAGCTACAAACAAATGTTTGACACATGGTAAACTTAAAGCCCGTATTTCTAGATAAGCAAGTTGTAGATACGAAGTGTTTTATTTTTTAAATAGGTTAATCTGGTTCATAGCAAAGCTATGTCATACTTTCGAGATGGAGGAGGTTAATGTACACATCATGGTTTATGACTGGAAACACTTCAAGTTATGTCGAAATAACGAACTATAAAATAGGGAGAGTGACGCCCATTGTAGACCAAAGCATCCAATTGATCTGTTGCCTTTGAACTGTTTTATATAATTTAATCAAAAATGGAACATGTGTTTCAGTTCTTTGCTACATAAATAAGTTAGTGTTATGTTTAAATCTTTACGCTTCAATTAGCCTACTTGAAGTTCCTCTATGGCTACCCAGCAATCCTTTGGGAAGTCCTGCAGCATTGGTATAAGAAACTGGAGGCAACCATTCCAATGGCCCAAGAGGAACATCAGGCAGATGAGGTTGAAGATTCGCATAAATTTGCCAGCAATTGCTAAAAACTGAGATAAGGAAATTATGAGTCAGTTTGTGGTCCTTCACGAGACGAAAATCGGCATTCCGATGCAATAAAAAGCGTGCTTGAAAGCAGAAATGAATTTGATTGCGCTAGTGAACTGGCGAATACATCATAAAACTAAACATCAAATGAGGTTAGATATAAAGAACTATTACAGAAATTCTATACTTTGCAATAAACTTTGATTAAACAAGTGAAGAAACAAAAAAAAGATCTAACTAGCCTGAGTTGCAATTAATTGGATGCTAAGCTGACATCAGATAGAGAAAGAGGTTCCCTTTGTAGGTTGTGTTCTTTTTATAAGCTGTTTAGCATTCAAAGAAAATTACAAAGATAGTAAAGAGACATTCAAAGAGAAAGACTGAAAGAGTAAGCTCCTTACATCGACATTGAAGGTAGGGTATAATTACTTGCCTCATAAAACAGTGCATATGGCGCATTAATACTGTTTAACCATTACTGAGATATATACATATATATATATATTTATTTCATATTATCGTCATAAGAGAACACATTCAAATCGTATGCTTAGTGCATATTATATCACTTTACGACAAAATATTACACAAACGTCTACTTGTTACACGAAAATCACATTTAACTTAGCATTACAATAGCTTTTATGATGTTTCTTAAATATTTAAAATATATTAATATTATTATTATTTAACAACTGAGTAATTAGCACATAACATTATCAGTTACATCAAAGCAGACATAAGGTTGATGCATCTCCATCGCCGATACTGTTCTTCAAACAAACCATCTTTCAATGTCTGAATGTCAGCCTGTAAGCGACAGACTACTATCCATGTCTACATCTACTGTGTACATGTATGTTCTTCTATACTTATACCCTTCCTATCAGAGAGTAAGGATGACTTGCCAGTCAAAGTTTAAATTACCCCCACCTCTTCCCACTGCTGAACATATCGGACCAGTCTGGATAACCGAAGCAGCCGAAGCAAGCTCAGCAATTTGGCCAATCTCAGCATTCGCAAGGCTCTTCCTGTTGAATCAGAAATGGTTAACTCAAGAAACCCATAGTGATTGGTGGATTTGAGCAAAATGGCTGCGTCCGACGTTTTCTTAGGTGTTTCATGTAATTAGTTCTTGCCTTCATTATGGAGAAACATCATCGTGGTTGGATGAATCATTGGTGAATAGTTCCATTAAAGTTTGCAACCTGAAATCTTCAGCAACTTTCAAATGAAGCAAAAATAAAAAAATTGTGTCACTTAAGGTAACATTTTGAACTTTATGAAAGACTGGTATTTCTTTCTACTAGTATTTATACGTTTTCCTATTGACGTAGTTGTGTTATAACTGGGTCATATGTACCCGGAAGTGAAGTTTGAAATTTTGTCGAACGCAACCACATGGTCATCGATATCATGATCAGCATATTGTTGTTGTACATACATCTGAGGCCATGTCAGAACATGTTGTCACAAAACCATTTTCTGCTCTAACGCTTTACCATAAACAGACCAAATATGAAGTTAATTTTTTGTTAATTTCTTTGCTGGGTCTTCTTTCTGCAAAGAAACTGATAAATTGTGCCAGGGAATATAACCCAGCAGCGATACATATTTTGTGACAACCCGATGCCTGACAAGCCCAGACGTTGTTCCAGACAGCGTGCAGGGAGTAGTGGGGAGGTATGGGGTGCATTTGTTTCACTCATGGTTGCACCTCTGTTGTATCTCTACACATACGTTGTGCTGGGAGTTACAAGTCACACATGTCACTCTTGGCAGCCATTACTTCCGGAAAGTGCACATTTTGGTGATTAGGAATGTTGCATATCTATCATGCACCAACTCTCATCTATGTTAAAACGGGTTTACCCGTGAAAAGAAAGATGAGAAGATCATGAAAGTGACCCTGAGGTTTCATAGTTATGTCAAAGGACTCTTCTAGCATTTTTACTAGAGAATCTACGACTGTAACAGATATTTCTTAGTTCTTTCGAGATATTCCAAAATGACCAATCACTTTACATTTCCGGACTGGACACTTATTACAAGGTGGGTTGAAAGTTGGTGAGATTAAGGGTTGTCCGGGTCGGCATGGGGAAAAGGGTGTCGCCAGAAGCTACAAGAGGACATGAAAGGAAATTTACGCTTTACGAAACGAATACAAAACATATCAATTTGCTCAATATTTCATGTACATCTTATATAGGTATGGGTCGTGTGTATGGGTGTATCTGATTGTGTGTATGCATGTGTGTGTGTGGGTTAGGAGGGTGGGTGGGGATGTTGTCATAAGGGAAAGTTACATACACATTGAGGTTATGAAACTAATAAAAGGTGGGTGAGGGTGGGGAGGTTCCGCAAAACATTATACAGTTCTAAGACCAACCCCCAAACTGTCTCCTCGCTGCTTTCAATCCCCCAAAATAATAAATGACCAGTCCCCTACATGGACAATACTTATTGCATTTTTAACGGTGCTTTGGTATAACACTTCGTTAAAAACGAACATTCGTATAGATCCTTCGTTGTATTCTGCCTTTAAGTCAACAGTCTAAGTTCTGTGACTTTGTGCACAGCAAAGGATACGAACAACTGATGGAATACTGGTAACCAACAACACTGACATACGGATATCAATTCCGGCAATGCAAGCATGCTCCGCGACTAAGTACACAACCAATACGAATAATATGTCCACATTTGTGATAGAAACTACGGTTGATCGAATATTTCTTCAAAACACATATTTGATAACTTTATCCGAAAGCAGTGATATAAAAAAAAAACATCCTGAGACTGAAGGTACTACATTGTTGCCACAGTGACTGCTTAAACACCAAGTCCCCGTTACATAGAACTATCCTAATTCTGACACAATCATTGCGATGAGATCACCTTAGCGCTTAGATCGATTTAGACCCAAATGTAAATGAACGTTTCAATAACGTCAAATAACAGGATGACGTCACTAAACAACAAGCTGTGGTTGCTAAGAAACCAGTAGATGCTGGACATTTTCCAAACATGTACAACGCTTTCTAGTATTTGTATCAGCATCAGATTGTTGTAAAATGACGTTTATTGCAACAGCTGACAATACACAGATAATATTTGCACTCATAGCTGATCCACATCACTAACTTTGCCAAGTTATATTGACTCTGGCAAATGAATCAGTTGGTAGGAGGTTTTCCTCTATCCTGATATACAAACAATTTTTATTTGATCTTTGTTTTCATGTATATCTTAACAACATCATATTCATAAATTGAACAATTCAATATTCTAGACGTATGGTTAATTGTAAGAAGGCTGATTCTAAGAGTGTTAGTATAGTTTTCAGCTTATATTATATTAATAGTCATAAACTGGAGGATTGTGTGACAATGTGAAAATGATACATATATATCTCTATATTGAACGGCTCCAGTCTAAATGAATCAAACCAAACCCGCTCGTTTTGTTAGTAAAGCATAACAAAAGCTCTTTCTGATGAAATCACTTTTGCTGACAGTTCATATGTACAGCATCTGTTGCTGCCAGGTGTTATATACATATGTAGTCTATCACAGGCTATTGAATGTATTTTGGGTGTATAAAAGGTACTAGATGGATGGAATACTAAAGAGATGACGGTGATAACCCGCCTACATTAACATCTAGTCTGAAAGACAAAACGGTTACTGGTTTGAACACTGTCTATCACATACCCGCAGTGTTCGAGGTCAATTCGATAAAACTTCGTTTATTCAATATGCTGCATTACGGTACATAATGTAAAACCATAACTATGATACTGATATAATTAAACATTGATATATCCTTAGAATTCTACAAGAGTTGTATCAGCACTGCATTTGTACCATAATACGAAGCATGGTTATAGGAAGAATCTAAAATATTTACAGAATATATCGTATGGTCATATTACATGTTCACTGTAACAATAGACTCACAGCAGTTTACAAGGGCACAACATACGAGACAATTTCAAACACTAGGCAGCATGCATGAAAGGTTAAGGAAAATCTCAACATAAAAGGTAAAGAAGCACATCCATAAATGCGTGCAAACAGGGCATGCGCAGTATGATAACGAGGTGTGTAGTTATGAATCTAAGTGTGTTGTCGTTAGTGCACTACGTTTGTGAGTGGAGAAGGCTTGTGAGGGAAACATTTTCAGGAATGCGTCAAAAAGGATAAAATTTTAAAGATTTAAGTATATGCAGAATGGTGTTCCAAGGCGATCATTCTCTCCAGAATATCCTTCGTTGAAGATCAAAGACGTTCTTGGGCCAAATAGAAACCATTAATTAGCGTCATCATTCTGACTTTCCAAATGGACAACCGCTGAAACGAACGCCCGGGTTACCAAATATTAAAACCTTTAGAAATGGTTCTAGAAGTATAAAATAAAAGAAATGTGAAAAGAGATAGTTTTGAAATAAATTAAGTGCATGTTTATGATCGCACCTTTTCCCTATACGCCATTGCGTACTCATCTAGTATCGGAAGCTATGCATCAAACATTGAATTATCATCTATATCCATCCTAATGGTATTGCGTAGAACTTGGAAACTTATATGGCGTCTTGAGCAGCCGCGTTACCCTTGGCATAAGCAAATTAGTTGTGTTACATGCAGCTGGTTGATGGCCCTCTGTTTAACATTACAAGAACTGTCTCATGAAGGAGTGGGTTTTATGGTCTTGCAATCTTTCGCTTTCTACAAGAACCTGAAATCTACAAAATAGTCAAAAGTTAAAACCATCATTCAAGAAAATAAACCAATGTCCACAGAGAGATTGAGATAAATAATAATTTTCAAATATTCGTAATGCTATAATTTAGTACGATGCATCATGCTGAGGCCGCTGCCTCTATCTACATCTAACTAACTGTTGAACGCAGTGTGAACTGAATGAAGAAAAAACAGCTACTTCTAAGTAACAGAATGATACTCTTCAACATATTAACTACATAGAAGTGTCATACTTTCTGTGGATGGCAGTGCGTACCAATGACACCTTTCTTCGTTATGGTGCTATACTCAAAGGCTGTGGGTCAGGTCTATATGGTTTTGTGGTCTATATGATCTGTGGTCTATACGCTCTGTGCTTTAATATTAGTGAAGCATTTGTTATGGAGTAAGTAGCAGAATAACGCTGACAGAACTAATTCTTAGGACCAGAATATTTTGTCAATAACACAGTTATTGTGTTATAGTCAAATCTCTGGTTGGGCTAGCATGTTAATGATGTCAAAGGCTTACCAACAAAAATAAAATGAATAAAAATGATGAAAATAATAATAAAAGCTCTATAAACTAAATTTTGAAATTTAAGAGGATTACCGAGATATAAGGTGCGCCACGGTATATCTGAAAAAGTAAAAGCCTTTCATCTTGGGTATAGCACCTGACGATGGTGTCACTGGACCGTCACAATTAGCTTAAGCTTAGCACAATAAGCAGTTGTTGCATACGTATGTGTTTTTCACAGCATCATAGCATAGCCATTATTTGGAAAACAATTACGCAACGCTTTACTTACATCGCTTACGGATCTTGAAGAAATTTATGGATCGTGAAAAGGTACCAGTGATTTCATTTATATTTGAAGGTTTCTGAAGCGCACATCTAGAAATCTGTTGTTAAATCTGTCACACCTGATTGAAACGTTGTTGCTTTCAATGATTGTTACTTACTTAGTTTAAGCTTTTTGTCCGTTCTCGTTGGAATGGTATAAATACAATGTCTTTGGTCTGTGGAAATGACATGACCACTTTATAAAGATTGCTTTGAATGCCCTCTGTACTGTTGTTCCAATGTAGTAAAGGAACTTTGGATTCTGTGCTACAAACTGACATTGTATGCTAACATGCCTACAAAATAATGTAACCATGTGTGGGACTACCTATTCATATACCTTTTACATTGATACAATGGGTACGTTGCTGTTAACGTATGTGCAAGTCTTTTGTATTCCCAAATACTAGAAATCGATAATAAATAAAAGAAAATATATCTTCCAACAAAGGTTGAATAAAAGTAGGATAAATAACAAATGCATAAGTACAGAAGTGAACAAACAAAATTACTCTAATGATCATCAGTATCGAATGATTTGCAAACATGGTAATCCCTTCGCATAGTTTAACCACTTCTTTGCCTTTCACCGCCAATGGACTTATTGTTCTATTGTTGCTCGTGTTTGATATATATATATTTCCTGGTGATTACAAGTAGGTAGCTCCAATAATCAGTGAAGCCATATGCTCCAGTAAAGATAATTACAATACACGTTGGAAATGCTCTCAGGTCAAATGTTGACAATATTCACAAAGTGTGTGACCAAAGAAAAGAACAAAACATGGATACGTCGTCATAGTGATTATCTATATTGGTGAATACTATCGTGTTAACAAATGATGACTAACATGTAGTTTCAACGAAATATTAAAGCAAAGTAAGCATTTCATATATAAGGTGATGAAAAGCAACCTTATACATTTATCGTGAGACTGGAATTGTCATGCAGTGTAAGGAGCATGTACCGCATGTACCGTATTTTGGACATCAGCACAATCACGTAACTATCTTTCTATGGCATTAGAGTAATCAATGCCATGATGATTATGGCAAGGATAACGTTGTTACTTATATACAACACATCGCTGTGTTTCAGAATGGCGTGCTTGTGATGTTTCATGTAAGTGCAAGTTGATATTTTTCGACGCGGAAGAAAATGAAATAATAAAGGAATATGCAAAACGAAATGTTAGAAAAACATAAATTATAAAGCAATATATAGATATAGCTATACGCTTACGTGAAGGCACATCGATATATGTCATGGATGGTACAAGAAACTAATGGTATGTCAAAGGAACTCATAAGTCCACGTTAGAAGAACAAAAAATATATATATACGTATGGTAATATGACTTTCAAGATGGGTGCATTTACAAACACGTAGTGGATCGGGTACCTTTGATTTAACATAAGCACTAGTTTCTTCATGGTACAAATATTCAAAAATATTCAAAACTATTTGTTCGAAAAAATAAATTGAAACAAATGAAAGTATGTGCTTAATAGAACACAATTTTTGTATATTAAATCTTATAATTCCTAACAGCGTGGTGAAAAATAAACTAAGCAGTAAAACAGCAGAAGATACAAACATTATTTGACTAGGTATGTTATTTTTTCCTATGATTTTAACAGGTGTCCATGAAGACCCTAGTGGAACACTAGGGTAAAGGGGTACGGTGACAATTGCCAACGGGGAGGTGACCAGTTAGGTCCTTGACCAGTTGCCTGTAGGGTGACCTAGGGATGGTGGGCGGAAAGAGAGAAAGCCACGGAGGTTGTCCACAGATTAATTTTGACAGACATTCCAGCCAAAAAATGCGAGAATGATCACCTTGCCAGTACGGGAGGGCATCCAAGCGAGGTTTCGTACCTGCGTGGAAGAGCTGACTGAAATTGGCCTCAGAGTCCCACATAAGAAAAATATAGTCCATTGGAATGGAGCTTATGAGATCTAGAAAGAACCATGTCTTCATGTAATGTTTGGCTATAAGTTTTGGATCCAAAATAATTTCATCGGCAAAGTCATTCAAAATAACACCTGAAAAAGAATGAAAAAGTCAGGTTATTGTGGTTTGCTGAGTTATCATGGCACAAGGAGTAAACATTAGCGGCGGAATAACGGTACAAATGCAAATTTGCTTTTGTTTTGGAACTAACTGAGTCAAACATAAAATCATCCGTAAAAGTAAACAGTAATTTTAGCCGGTAATATTATTAACAGCATAGCAATTAATACTCAGTAGCAATGTGCAAAGTATAAAAATGCTCTCCATATCTATTTACTCATTGGTGAAAAGAGGCCTTATTAAATGATACAATTCAACTGATTTGCTTTACCTTGATAAAGTGACCTGGTAGAACATTAACAATCTAAAACATTCAACTTCGCTTAGCAACGACAACACAAAGGACAAACATCAAATATTGTATAATGATCCAAAATCTTCTAGTGTTAGTACTGAAGAACGTTGTTCAGTAATACAAGTGCCCTAAACAAATTAAATTGTATGACTGAATACTGTTTTATTGGTCGTTAGTATTATTTTCTACTGTCTGGATCCCTTAGGATCAGTGACAGTGGAAGTTCTTGGTTCATCATGCAATATTCATTCTACTATCTCACTGTTAAATTCAATAACAGTCCCCACATATATAAATCTATGTAAACATACTGTGACTTTTCTAATGATCAATAGCGATATCTGTATGGTGTTTCCTGGAAGATTTTTCTTTCGTAGCCGAATAAGAAATTTGCAAGTTGGTTTTCAGTTTGAAGACAAACATTCCATATAAAATTATTAATTTTCATATATGTGGATTCTGTCATTCATGGTTAACGCCGCTGTGGACAGTGTTCCGGTTATATCCCGGCGTGTCAGTTTCACTGAAGCCCGAGATGACATGATATGTCTCAGACGTTTACCAGTTTTGAGCAACCAATGGACACGGGTTTGGTGCTGACATACATAAACCATAATCGGTGAGAACAGGGATTCGAACCCACATTCACTCTTTGGCTTGCCAAAGGGAACAATCCTGTAAAGTGAAATACCCGTGCCTCTTTCTATTTTCCACCATCACGGTGATGTAGGCTTCCAGAAATATGCACACTGGTGTTCATGTCCGAGACGAGTACATTTATGAAACATTGTGATCTGGGCCTCCTTTAACAAAGCACTGAAGTGATGGTAAGTCACTAAGGTAACCTTAGTGCAATTTTAAGGGATATAAGACATATTCCAATCAAAAACATAAAACTAATTTCTTTGAATATAGAATTGCTTACCTGTTCTAAAATTGATTATGATGTCAAGAAAAAATACAGTATCTGATATACAATTGAACACGATCCAGTGTGTGCTGAGGTCGTCGTTAAAGAAAGATATTGCTACCGGTAAAATGATGAGGTTGGCGATAAGTAGCACCAGCATAAACAGATCCCAGTAAAACCTGAAATGTAAAAAAAAACAATCATTGAAAAATATGTACAGTGAAACCATGAAATCTTGACGTAAACCCGTCCGGAATATACAGTGTCCGGATAAAGGAATTGCTATTTCTGTGTAATTTAGTTTAGTAGAAATGCTATCTGTCCCAGAAGTATATGATCTGAAGGTTGGTATCTGAATTAGGGGAGTCCATATTATCGAGGTTTCAGTGTATGTGGTATAAAATGGGTGGCAGGAATGGTTTTACGAGGTGAAACTAACCATTAAATATCGGATACTCGTGGACTTACATATGTCTATTGAAAATAACCAGTGATATTTAATCAAGAAAACGGCACGATGCAACATTGAACTCAATTGGACCTATTTTTATATTCCTATTTGCAAAATGGTCTTCGTAAAGACTGCACACTAAAACATATAGAGCTACATATAATGTAATCATCTCTGGAAATCCTGCGGGGAAAGAGCAAACGAGGAGATCGATACATGTATCTTATATTTGGTGATCGCGGATCTCATGTGACGAGTCAATATTTGAATTCAAGTACATCACATATAACACAACAACATTCCCGAGGCTATATATAGATCCTTATCAGTCTCGGCAAACGTCACATTAGACATTATCAGGACTGAAACAGTTCCAATATAATACGATTTAATACGTGTAAATAGTACAGCGCGGGATAAAGTGTGTAAATATTTCATCTAGCAAAATAGATTGGCCGTAAATAGACGTATTCTACAAACTATACTTAAATGCTGACTCAGCTATCTGGAGAACACCGTGGCATGTAATGACACTCGTGATTCCGATATGTTTGCATACCATTTCATATGATCATTAAAGCCTAACATGTGAATACATATCCACTTAACTAACTGCTGAGTGAAAAATAGACCAATTTTCCAGTGTACCATTGGGATAAATGATGTTAATATCAGGTCAACTCTACATCAGTCTTCAGGATAGTGTTGCTGTATTTGCTTTGAACGCAGTGTCAAGTTTCTGAAGAAGACAAACTTGCGACGTACACTAACAAGCACTGATGCTACGTACAGCAATAACCCCAGAGCATCATGGTGAGTTTATATACAAATCTTCTAGTCCATTTCACACGGGTTACCAGTTGTCTACATGGGAATATAGTTTTACGTCGCTTTTAACAATAATCCAGCAATATCCCCGGGGTCGGGGTTGGGGTGGGGTGGGACACCAGAACCGGACTTCACACATTGTACCCATATGGAGAATCAAACCCGTGACTTCGGTGTGACGAGCGAACGCTTCAACCACTAGGCTACCCCACCGCCCCCAGTTGTCTAAAGCGCCCCAATAACCTGTACAGAGGTTAATCCGTTCAGCGTTCGAATCCCGGTTCACCGTAATTATGTTTCTACTTTTTCAGGAGCGTCAATTCGATCTTGTCTCCCACATTAATCTGACATCTAACTCACTCACTCACTCACTCACAACAATCCCCATATCACGAAAACGTTCTTAGAGTTTGCAAACCGTTGACTCACAATATTCGTATCTAATGGTCCTGACAACTTGTAATGTGCATACATAACCATTGTCAGAAACATACAGATCTTTCCAAGCACAACTGTCCTTATTGCAATGTATATGATATAGCACGACCTTGTCCTCTAGCCAGATCCAGACTGTTCTTACAACATTATCCATATGCCTAATAGCGGTCTGTTCTTCACTAATGTCAGATCGATATGTTCGACTTGTTCAGGTTAGTCATCTATCACATTCTATTTCAGTATATGTCAGGATTCCTATATAACACATATTTTTGTCCATTCCGAGAAATCTCGGTCGGCGTGGATTATTGAGATCCGATAACAACGAACATTGATCAACAGAAAAGACAGACACATTACTGCCCAGGATATGAACAAGACCTATATTGATCAGCATGGTATTCAAGGATTACAAAGTGTAAACTGTGTATTTAGAAATACAAGTGTCACAACTGATGTATGTAAAACGTCACAACACCTTTCCACATTCATAAGAATCTCTGTTTAAAGGGGTGGTGGGGTAGCCTACTGGTTAAGACGTTCGCTCGTCACACTGAAGACCCGGATTCGATTCCCCACATGGATACAATTTGTAAAGTCCATTTATGGTGTCCCCCGCCGGGATATTGCAGGAATATTGGTAAAAGCGGCGTAAACTCCAACCCACTCACTCACTCTGTTTAAAGCAGAGTAGATTTTATGATTCGATGAGATCATGAGGATATGTTTATGAAACATTACGTAATAGTGATGATATCAGGACAAAGTGGGCATATCCTGCTCCGCCGGCTACATCCGTCACTAGCACATGCACGTTAAGACAATAGCTCAACGTAAAGGACCAAACACAAAATACATGGAAACAGTTTCATCAGGATCTTTTCTGTCACTGGTGTGTCAAATGTCAATTTGATTTGTGAATCCTCCACATATCCACTATACAGCGTTTGGACAACTGAGACCCTGATTATCATAAACCTTCTGAGCAAGGGTTGTATGAAGGTCTCGTATGAAGCTGACACGTTGTGATGAAACTGACAAACATCACAAAGCGGCGTCAGCCAACCTCGTCCATCTGAAGGAAAGCTGTAGCATCGGGCACTCGAACATTTATTCTTGAGGCACTTAGAATCCGTAGTAAAGACGTCAGAAATATGTCAGAAATGAAGTTTCATGTCAGTGGTGAAAAACAGAACAGGTTGTTTCTCCAAAATTTCCGAAACGCCCCAATGTTCGAGGTAATAGCGAAAATGAATAGACTTGAAATTGTATTCCTGAAAAAAAGAAGGAAATTCTCCATACAAATTCAATGGATGCTCCCTAACTTACTTGATGAACGTCAGTACATAGATTGTTGAACTCATGCATAATAACGATACCATTATCTCAAAGGTGACCGAACTACAACCTTGAGATTATCTCAAATACAGAGAATAACACATCTACCTGAGTCCTCGGTGTTGGTTAACATCAAGACACGTCTAAGCGTCACATGGAGACGATCAACATGATGTAACAATCTTTCATTACAGGCATGAGTTGAACAATTACGCATCCAGTTCCGACTGTAACATATTGATGTTTACCATTACCATATTGGAGGTTTTATTGCAACTGGAGAATTTAGCACAATTATTAACTGCAACTAGCACAATTATTTCCTAATGTGATGACATCTAATGTACACCCAGGTGGTCGTCCTGGAGTAGCCTTGACGTGTGGAATCAGAAAGCAGTGGGCAGTGACCCTTGGAACCTCTGGCTGCAAACAAATGCTTGACGTAATATTTATTCTGACACACAAAGGCTTCTCTCCATTAACAAAGTCACATTGGGAATCGCGAGAGCACTTGGAAGTCTTCATGCAACAGCATAACCACTTCCAATCAGTGGCACAATTTGGGAAAGAGTCTACAGTTTCAACTGCTCACAACTTTCAGCTAACGTGTTATTGGCATGTTCGCATGCTTCTCTCAAGCAATCGACCTCTGAGTATTTCTCTAACGAGCGATAGATTAATTGGACGGTCGGTTCGTTTCAATTGCCCCAATCCTGTTTTTATTTCTCAGTTCGTGGTTCGTACTGGAATTTACACAATTCCTAAAACGGCAGAAGAGCGAGGTAATTGATGTGAATCTCCAAAACATGTCTCGAGATAAACTGGTATCATCCTGCGACATTCTAAACCACAAGAATCGATATTTTGTACCGACAAAAAGAGAAGAAGATGAATAAAAATCCGGCAAGGTTTCAGTCAGGTTGCCTCAAAATTCTATTCAGTTTTCCCTCAAGTGCAAGTTGATTACATAGTTGCGCTTGGACATAAAATTGATCCCAAACTTGGTAACCTGTACCACCAAAGCCAGCCCGGCTAGATATTTGTGCTGTTCATTAGTTGACAAGATTAAACTTCCTTACAAGTGAAGTTGTGGAGGAGATAAAATTACATTTCCATTTACTTGAACAGTGAGGCTATATATAGATGGATTAAGGAAGAAAGACTGAAGCACAAAAAGATAATTTTATAGAAAAGTAGGTTAAGTCTTCAAAGGATGACCTTAATTGGAAGAAATGCTTTGAGTGTCTCCACGGGTACAGCATCGCGGATTATTACCCCGGATAACCCAAGATGCCAGTGAGGCGCTAGAATGTTGATAGTCACATGGCTTACCCCAACAGGTACCCATTTTGTGCTGAGTGAACAGAGGCAATTTTGAACAAACTCACTTGCCTAGGGTGGAACCACATGTATTAATTGTGCTTCGTGATGGGGCAGGACTGAAGTCCTAGAATGTCTCAGGAGTCAAGCTACCAAACACGGTCACCAATCCAAGAACTCGCGCTCAACATTAACTGCTTCGGGACCAGAGCACTATGCACAGAACCACACACCAACACATTTGAATAGGTAGTCAGCAGTATGTTGAGAATGCATTTTTATTAACATGGAAAACGTGAATTGATGATCAGGATTCACGCTCGGGACGAAGATTGGGAAAGACTTGACATGATGCTTATAATCATGAAGGTTCTTCACAAAATCAATATTTTATCAGAATGTTTGACATCCCCTTTTCAGCCTCATCTCAGTCTTCTCCGAAAAATGCTTTCACATCTTCATTAGGTAACACTAACACATCGCAAACCAAACATGATCCATAGATCTTCAAAAGCTTTTGGCCTTCTAAACGTCACTGCACATTGTCGATAAAATTCACTTTAAAGTATTTTGCCAAAACACACAGACACGTTAATGTGTGAACCTTTTAACTTGAAGGGTTAATCAGGCTAATGAAACAGCGTCTTCGATTATTCAAATCATACGGGCGTAAATCGAGAACAACCATTGAGTGGATGACGTCCCAAGGTGACAACTCTAGATGTTACGCTGTGAAAGAATGTACTGACACTTCATACCCTGATCTCCTCTAAACCCCTTTAACTTCATCACATCATCCCGTCT